CAAACTATTCTCTAAAGCACCTGAAGGCAGGACAAGAAGCAATGGATGGAAACTAATCAAGGAGAGAAGCAACCTAGAACTAAGAAGATATTTTCTGACAGAACAATTAATCGGTGGAACAACCTGCCTCCACAAGTTGTGAATGCTCCAACACTGGAGGTTTTTAAGAAGAGACTGAACAATCATTTGTCTGAAATGGTATAGGTTCTCTTGCTTGAGCAGGAAGTTGGACTAGAAGACCTCCAAAATCTCTTCCAATTGTGTTATTCTGTTATAGTTTTTCCATAGGTACTAATAAATTACCATAGGAGCTACTCGAAACTACAACACAAATCAGCATAAAATCACAGGCAAGAGACAAGGCTTGTGATAGCAAGTTAAGCAAAAGAAATATAAAATAACTGGTAATACAAAAATAACTGCTTGACTAAAATAAGGTGCTCTCTAACTGCTTGACTAAAATAAGGTGCTCTCTAGTTTGTCAAGCTTAGAAATGAGATCCAGCAATTCCCATAAAGCCTATCCTGCCATTGAAAGAGGCTTGGCGGTGAACTAAAAGATATTTTGCACTTGTTCCAGCTAATAGCTTGGCTATTGTAATGCTGTAAGCTGAAATAAGCTTTTATAGACATACACATGGAAGTCTTTAGCGGCTTTCTAATAGCTGTGCAGAACTTAGGTGATTTTCAATATTAAGCAAAAATCAAGAATGTGCAGGCATAACCTCAGACTCACAGGAGGGAAGTTCGAAAGTAGTGTTTGAAAGTATTACTTCACAGAAGTAGTACAGATAGTCATCGGTTTACAACAGTTCCTTTAACGACCGTTCGAAGTTACAACAGTGCTGAAAAAAGTGACATGACCTTTTTTCACATTTACGACCACTGCAGCATCCCCATGGTCATGTGATCAAAATTCAAGCGCTTGGCAACTGACACATTTATGACGGTTGCAGTGTCCCACAGTCATGTGATCACCTTTTGCGTCCTCCTGACAAGCAAAGTCAGTGGGCAAGCCAGATTCATTTAACAACCGTGTTACTAACTACAGCTGCAGTGATTCACTTAACAATTGTGGTGAGAAAGGTCATGGGGCAAATTCAATTAACAAGTGTCCCACTTATTTTGGGCTCAATTGTTGAGGATTCCCTATAGTGGAGGCTTGAAACCAACTTGCAATGGAGATAGTGGATCAATCATCAAGCAACTGAGTTTAAACATCCTTGGGATAAACACATGTCTATCATTTGACAAAAATTAAAAATAACATCTAATAATTAATTAAAAAAAAAGTCAAAGGGCAGACTCAATGGACTGCTAGGTCTTTTTCTGTATTCAGTTTTCTATGTTTCTATGATTATTCCAAATGAGAATTTAAACTATGGACAATAGCCACAGAAGAAATTGTATAGTGTTGAGAGCAATAAAGAATAAAAAACTTGCAATTACAATAATTGCTTCAATTACCAGGGAAAGGAACTTCAACCAGACTGATTTAAGGCAAGTTTCCCCTCCCTTTCTGTTAACAGAATGCTACTGTGGGGTTATTGTAAAACAGTTATTACTAAACAGATGTCTTCAAAGGATGAGTGCAATGTGAAGCGACTGAGAGTACATCAAGAATCTCAGTTCCATAACCTGTGGCTTGCACTGGAATAATTTATTTTTAGGTTACCGATGTCCGGATGTATATATTATCACCAGCAACTGTTCAGGGAATTACTATAGATAGAAACATCATAATCTCTTTCATTATTTCCTCTGTGCCTCCTTTGTGCTCCTACCCTGTTTCCAAGGTTATAAGGCAATCTCATTTTCCGTCTTGCTTCTTAGAGCTTTGATATCAAACTAGATCTAAGATTTGATTTTTGACATCCTTGGTGTCCCCTGTGTTTGTGTTTTACAGTAGAGAAGGTAGAACTAAATGCTAAAGCTATTTGACCTGGATTTTCAAATATTTGAGTACTTTCTGTAACTAGAGTGAATCTTGATTTTTCAGTGTTTTACAAATGAGGACCATCCCATCACTAACATTTCTTAAATTGTACGTTTTAATATTTAAAAATGTTTTAATATTTATTTTAATATAAAATAAATTTTGAAATGGAAGAGCAAAAAGGAACACTGGATACATCTGCCTTAGTCCAAAACACTGTCTCATTACATGGATTGCATTCATTATCCTTGTAATAACAGCAGAAAAAATGACAAAGAAGATCAAGAATTGGTCAGCACCAGTTGAAGATTAACTGCATGGTTTTGGCTGAGTGGTCTACAACCTCCTCATTGCCAAGCAGTTTAACAACATACTACCTGATAATGAAAGATCCAACAAAAGGGGCAGCACCAGGCAACTACAGGCCAATTGCCTGCTTACCAACCAGTCTCTTCAAATTATCTCCCAAACTAAGCTAGTATCTGTATTGAAAAACAGGAACATTTGCAATTGAAGACAATCAAATGGTCTTTGCTTTATAGGAAAAAAATGATAAGATTTCATCCAGGCAAACGTATGATTTTAATTTATTTCATGCCAGAAAATTGCTTTTCTATTCACTGATATTCAAGATGGGTTCTAAAAATGTATTTCAGTACTATTACATAAAGAAAAACATGAAATCCCAGCTCTTCCTTGCTCTGGTGGAAAGAGCTTATTTCCAACTAGACGCTGTTGGGCTACATTAGCTACCACACCGGTTACGATTTGATAACTGACGGAGTAGTTGAGGTAGTCCAACAAAATCTAGTTGGAATAAGCTCTTTCCACCAGAGCAGGAAGAGCTGGGAGTTCAGGTTTTTCTTTATGTAATACTACTGAAATACATTTTTAGAACCCATCTTGAATATCAGTGAATAGAAAAGCAATTTTCTGGCATGAAATAAATTAAAATCATACGTTTGCCTGGATGAAATCATATGTCATTTTTTTCCTAAAAAGCAAAGACCATTTCAGTGTCTTCAGTTGCAAATGTTCCTGTTTTTCACTACCGATAATATATGAACCATATGCTTGGATTGGGAGATAATTTAAAGAGAATGTTTGGTGGGAAGAGACACATATCAATGATGGACACAGAGAGACCAAATTCATCAACTGGTAAAATTTTCTAGAAACAGAGGACACCTTAAATGATTAATCTATGTTCTAGAAGTTTAAAGATTTCCAGAGATGCAAGAGATATTTAAAAAGTTCTTAAATTGTTCTTTAGATTTTGATCACTCCATCTTGTTTCCTAGATGGAACTGATACATTAGGAATTCACCATGGTTCTCTTTTATTTCCATATTGTAGGCACAGGAAGAAAGGACTTTATTTTGCTTTGATTCTGTTTGGCAGTGGCTCCCTACGATATCAGGCAAAGGGTTTTTACATTGTCCAGAATTTGATCTTCCTGTCTTTTGGAGCAGGACAGAATAAACCCACTTAATCTCTGAATGAAGACAGCTATCCTTTCTCTTCAGTTTTCTCTCTGTTGCAATAGTTTTTTTCCATTATTCTTTCTCAGATTAATTTCCAGGCTTTTCTTTTTCCAGCCATCTCAGTACATGATTCATAATCGCCTTGGAGTTGCGCAGTACTGTACCTAAATCTAATAAGATAATTATCCATTTTGTCAATATCAATTGAAGAAAAACACATTGCTTGAAATCTGCTTCTATTCTTTGGTCTCTTGTCACCCTATGCTGGCAGCCTTCAAACAAGCTGATAAAGGAGCATGCATGTATATATGTGTAGTATACACACACAAACACACATATATATAGAGAGGGAGGGAAGGAGAGAATGAGAATGATGGAAATGGGAATCCAGTCCCTCTTTGGAAGTGAGGCCCAAATCCCAAATACAGATTTAATCACCAATTTGTCACACTCTGCTCTTCTTCCCCATCTTGGTCACCCTCCTACTTTGTAGCTGTCACAAACAGATGGCTCAAATGTACTATGCTTTCAAATTGTCCATTTTAGTAATAAACCCCCACTTCTATTCGCTTTGGAAAAAGCGCCAAGGATAATTACTGAATAATTTGAAAAAGAAATCAGTTTGAGAAATGCTTACTTAGTATGGCATTTGCAGTTGTGGAAAAAAGGAACTTGAAATGATTAAACTCCTGTAAACAGGGCTAAACAGTTTTTCCTTCATCTTGGTGTTTCAGGGGGTATTGGCAGATGCCTTGTGCATACACAATTCAGAGAACCTTTGCTATTCAAGATTTTGGCTCATGTTTTCCTTGAATTTGGCCATTTCTCTCTTTTGAGGAAGGAATGCCAAAACACATTTGTCTGCCTTTCGCTTTTTTTATAGTCTATGATTTCATTTTATTGATGTTCATTTATGTATTCCCAAAGCTGCTACAAAAAGTTAAAATAGCTTAGAGAGGCAATTGACATATTTCCAGGCTTCCAAAAGGGCTCATAAACCAGACAATGCTTTGCTTTTCACAATGGTATGCAAAGCAACTTCTGTCACAGTCAGCTTTCTCCAAATTGGGGCTCTTCAGGACTTGGCCAGCTACTGCAGTGTAGCTGAAGATTGCCTGATTGAGGCCATCTCTTGTAGTGTGGATGTCGATATTTGCTCTGACGGATGGATCACTGTATTCCCAGAGCTAAGGCTCGCATATGCCAGATTAGGATGTAAATCCAAACTTAAAGTAAAACCCAAATCTGAATGTTTTTAAACAATGGTTATTTATTCTATGAACATTGATTGATAAGTACTTAATATTTGTATAGTTGGCAACTCCACAACCCATTTAGTACATTTCTGCTAGAGGCAATAAACAACCAGGATTAATAGGCACTGACAGATCTATTCTCTATACATGTATTGAGTCCCTTTTTAAAAAGCATGTACATTTGTAGCCATCAGCATGCTTAAGGTATTCAATAGCTTTTAACAGTTTTAATGTTGTAATTCCAGAATATAAGATTTTAAATACCAAGTCAAAGCTACTTACATTTTTTAAAAAATCAGTTGCAGTGTGCACAGCTAATTTTTTCAGCATTCTTTGAAAAATGTTTTAATTATTCATTTATATTCTTGCTTTCATTTCAGTGGCCCTCACTTGCAATCTGTAATGATGTAGGAAAAATGCAATGAAACATTAATTTCATAGACCCCTGAGTGGGGAGGGCCATCCATTAAGTCTAAGTGTTTGTTAAATCTGAATTTGTCATTTGCATCAATGTATGTCCTGGGTGTTATGTAATTGATACAAATAGCATAATTTTCAATAAAAGCGTGATTTGATGGATAAACAATCCAAATGAAAAATTTGTCCATTAGATCCAAAATCTGTTGAACCTAGATTTTATTATACACAAAAATCAATGCTGCATCCCTGCTCAGCATATTTTGAGTATTTGCATAACAAAGCACTGAGGTTTGGAACGGTTATGTAGCACCTTTACATATCTTAAAATGCTTTAATGTATGTGTCCCCCAGCATTTCAATATTGCAACTCCCCAGGAATTGTCATGTCTCCAATTATGAGGAAAAAGGCATCTTGCAAACTCCACTGTTTCTAAAGAAAGGACAATTTTAATTACAATTGACCCCAAGTTCTATGAAATTAACTGAGATGAACTCTGTTGCAGGAAGGGGACATTGCAGTTCTTTGAAACAGAAATCATGAACCGAAACATCCTTTGTTTTTGGCCTCCTTTCCATTCCTCATTTGGATGCTGGCTTGTCATTATTCTGATTTCCCATCAATTTTACTGCTCTTTTATCTATGCTGGAATTCACTTGTGCTTCTTTTTCACTTTCTGGTACACAGGTGCAGCCCACAGGAATAGAGACATAATCCTCAGTGTAAGCATAGCGGCCGCCCGTGCAGGATGTGGTTCGGTGCAAGATGACAGTCGGCATGAATACTGGCGTACTTCGAAAATGAAGATTTTCTTCTCCGTAATCACCTGTAAGACAGCCCTTACAAAGGCAGTAGGCTTCAGGAATGTATTTCGGATATCGGGTAGAATCGTAGGAGATTCTGTGCCAAAGGAAAAGAAGAAGGATTCACTTTGGACATTCTGTCCCAATTTTCCCTCTATTTCTCCTGCTGCTCTTTTTCCCTGTTTCTTGGATTGACTTGAATGGAAAGGAGTCTAGCAGAATGTTGAGATATTCTTTACATTATCATGCTGTTATTAGGCTAAGAGGAAAATAGACAGCTGCAATTCTTGAACTCTGCTTAAACATAGAAAAGTAAGCTAAGAACTTTACAATTTACTGTCACTTGAAATAATGAAATAAAGTTGAGTTCCCTTCTTTGGATCAAGCATCAACATGGAAACATTTGGAGATGATGGGCACAACTGCACAATCACCCCCTTTCCTATTTTATTATGTTAATAATTTATGTTATTCATTCATTAAATTTCTAGGCTGTCTGACTCCCTACCAACTCTGGGCAGCTTACAAATAAAAATAGACAGAAAAGACACAGCCAACTGGAAGAACTTGTGCCTCATATGAAAATGAGTTGCATACCCATTTTTAGAAAAGGAAGTATGAATTGATGACCAGCTGCTTTGAGCAAATATTGTTTAACAGAACTGCACCCCTCCATATTCTTAATATTAACTTTAACCCCAACTCTTTTTCTTCCTTCCTTTAATTGTTCTTTTAATGGATTGTGAAGAAATTTAGGCTTATTTTACATATTTTATGTGCAAAGCTTGGTTTTAAGACTACAATGAAAGCTCATTTTGGTATAGTAGTTGAAGCACCTCAACTGGAAACTAGGCGATTACTTTAGACATGAAGCCATGTGGCAACCCTGGGTCAGTCACTTTCTCTGTGCCCTAGGAAGAAGGTAGCAGTGCAAACCACTTCCATTTAAACCCAATTTTAAATTTTAAAGGTATGGAAAAGATTGGGTTACCTGTAGGACCAAGGAGAGATACTGTTGAGATTAATGGGGAGCCGATATGTCTTATCAGTAGCTAGCCTGCCTCCCACAGGACAACTGATGTTCTGGTCATTTTCCAGAGGCTCCAACTGCAGGGTGTGATGGAAGGCACTGAGCATGCCAGCTGTGAGTCTTCCATACAGCTGTTCCAAAAGCTCCTCAGGTCGGTCTGCACAGGATCGAGAGTGCATGGGACGTTTGCTTATTTTGACAGCTTCTACTCTGGGGAAACTGAGCCCACACAAAAGTAGACAAACCAGTATCCATCCCTGTAATGAGAAGGAAATGAAACAATATAAAAGAAGTTTATATTGTTTAAACCCAAACAAAAATACAGAATTTGCGATGCAGAAAAAGAATATTGATTAAAAACAATTTCAGGGAGTTTTCCCTGACTGATCACACTGTTTGCTTAAGCCTGAATTCGTCAACATGGCATCTGAGATCTTCTCCAATTCTTCTGCCACAGCAACTTAACTTTGGAACCAATATCCAGAGATGTACTGTAATGGCTAAGATGCTGGACTAAGAGTGGAGTGATCCAGGTTCAGGTCCTCCCTTACTTATGGAAGCTGGATTACCTTGATCAGTCAGCCCCTTCCAGTCAGGTGCAAAAGACCAGGGCCACACATGAAGTTCAAATTAAACTGATTTATTACTACTCTTTCCTATGCACAGGATAGCACTATTTGGATGCTTGAATTCAAGAGTGGTTGGACTCAGTCCATTTGTGGTTAGGTAGAGATTTTAGGTTGAATCCTCTTTTGACTCCACCTCCAGGTTCTGCCACTTCTCCTACACTCACAGCCCTAATCAGAATTAGGATTTGTGGCTAATAAACAAATCCCTGTTGTATTGACAGTAAACTGTTAGAACTAATCAAGTCCAGTGGATCACCCTCCCAGCAGACTCTGCAGCCACATGGGACAAATCCTAAAAAACCCCACAACTAGTTAATACAATTTATACTCATTATTGTTGGTTCTACAATATATCAGGATTGTACAATTCTTTGGAAATAGCTGTCCAGAATCATTGATTGAGATGGGTAGCTATAGAAATTGAATGAATTAATTAATATAGCTTATATATTATATATTATAATTATAATACAATTATGTAATATTATATATAATTATATAATATTGCTTGAAAAAGTGCTGGAGCACAAACACAGGACCGGTAAAGCTTTCACTGTCCCGGAATATTTTGTTAATTTACATGTTGAATTTTGCATCAACACCTAAGGCTAATCCTTATTTAACATCTTACAAGTATCCTATTCAAATAGGATGCTATAGTTTGGATTCCTGTCCTATGCAATGGTTTAATTCAAGTGTTCTTTTCTACCTCTTGGTTTCTGGCTAAAATTGCTCATTTTTGCTAGAAATTGCCTCAAGAACTGTCGATTTGTAAGGTCAGCTACAAAGGGGCACGAAAGTTATTTGTATAAATACATTTCACCTGAAGCGCCAGCGATCAGCAGCTCTGGCTAGCGAGCTTTACAAGGGAAAAGGAATGCCCGCTCTCTTGCTACAGCGGGGATCTACGGGCCAGTTCAGGCGGACAGCTCTTCTCAGCTTATTCCCCGCCTGTTACTCAGCATCCCATAAGCAGCCTGGCCAACTGCCGCAGTTCCGCAACTTTCACTCACCGCCGTCAGCTCGTCATTCCAAAGGCGCACTTTTACTTTGTTCGTTCCAACCGCTCGCCGTTTTGCGCGCAGCAAAAAAGGCCCGAGAGCGCCTCGCCCCGATGCTCGTGCTTTTCTTTCCCACTCGAGCTCGCAGAACAAGAGCAGGGGCGAAAAAAGCGCGACACTGCGGTGACTGGGCTAAGCCAACCCACTTGCCCGCGGTGCCGAACGGGGAGAAGCGCAATAGCGCAAGTTTGCAAGCAATCCCGGCCGGAGCAAACGGCCTCCAACCCGTCGGGGGGGGGGGGGTGGGGTCGAAGTTCGCATCGCGGGCAGGTGAAAGGCGTCGCCCCGCTTCTTCCTTACTTTAACACGCATACCCGCTTCGTCCTTACCTTGGCCGTCTGCATGACAGAGACGCCTCAGCGCGCGGAGCGGCGGGACGAGCTGGCTTGGCGAGCGCCTGGGGTCCTCCTGGCCCTGGCGGCGGTTGGAGGGAGCGGAGGAAAAGTTGGAAGAGCGCCCGGCTTCTCGCAGCAGGACCCCCGGCTGCTGGTGCCAGGACGGTTCAATACGCCGGAGAAAAAGGGCCGGGGCTCGTGCGCTTCCCTCGCTGGACTGACTGAACGGGGGAACGCCACGTCCTTTCGCGCACCTATCCCGAGGGCGTCGGAAAGGACTCCGCCTTGAATTGGGGTCCCAGGACAAAAAAACCTCTAAGCGATAATTTAATATTGTAGCCAAATTTCGAATTACTAAGAGCCGTTGTTTCAACAACGTTGCTAAAAACTCCCCCCCCCCAAAACGTGAATGGCGATGAAAAGATGAGTAGTCCTTAAGTCTTATTATCTGGATACACCATTTAGAAAAAAATCTGAAGTCATACTGTATAAACTGGATCCTGATATGTAAGGAAATAGTTAGAGGTAGTCCTCGACTTACAACAATTCGTTTAGTGACTGTTTGAAGTTACAACCTGGCGCTGAAAAAAGCAAAATCAATGGGGAAGCCAGATTCACTTAACAACTGTGTTACTAATTTAACAACTGTCGTGATTCACTTAACAACTATGACAAAAAAGGTCATAAAATGGGGCCAAATTAACAAATGTCTCAGCCACATAAATTTTGGGTTCAAGTGTGGTCGTAAGTTGAGAACCACCTGTATGCTAAGAACTTTTGGCAAAACTTTCTGGGAGGAATTCCCCTGTCACAAAGCAATAATTGTTGGCTCACATAGCTGTTGGAAATATGATTTTTTTGTAAATATTTTTTAGTTTCACTTTTGTCCAGAGCCCACATATCTATTTCTGCATTGGTGCATCTGCAGTCCATAGAGCTGGATGTTGACCGTGATATTATGATGGATTATAGCAAAGTAATACAATTCAGGGGCCATACAAATCCCAATGTTTTCATTTGTGCTTATTACTACAAGGAGGTACAAGATCCATGATTGGGAGAGTTATCTACAGAGCACTTTAAATGTATGGCTTACTTTTGTGTGTGAGTGTGCGGGTGTGTGCAGGCGCTTAAACATATATGCATTCAAATCAATCTTGACTGCTGGAAACTGACTGGACACATCCCTGCGGTTTTCTTGGCAAGATCTCCGGAAGTCCTTTGCAATTGCTTCTTCCTGGGACTAACAGAGTGACTGGCCCAAAATCACCCAGCCATCTTTATGCCTTCTACCAAAATACATTATATAAATTGCTGTAATCCAGTTTCTTAAGGATTTTTTTTTTTTGCACAAAGTTATAAAGCTGGAGTCTTTATACATTTTGATGTCTAAATGAGTCCACTGTCTGTAACTGCCCTTACATAAACCATCTTTATCAGTGGTGGCGAACCTGTGGCACGCGTGCCAGAGGCGGCACTCAGAGCCCTCTTTGTGGGCACGTGCGCCATGCCCCGGAGATGGCAACCATCCCTCTTCAACCAGCTGCCTGCTAACTCACTGAGGTCCCACGTGGCCGGATGCATCCCTGCACAGTTGGTTTCCTTCCCCCCCCCATTCCATCCCTCCTGGCCTCGCATGCTCTTCTTTTCCTGGGAACAACCCACTACATCGCCTCCTCAGCTGTCGGCCGGCCGGCCAACTCAAAGACAGCTTCTCTGAATGCTGGCAGCGGGCTGTGGAGCTGCTGACAGACACTTGTCAGCTCCCATGCGCTCGCTGGCCTCTGTGTGTGGGGGCTGATGGTGTCAGGCAGCAGCCGCCCTAGCCCCTGCCTCGCCTTACCCCGCAGAACGAGCCTCCTGCCCACCGCCCCACCTGCCAGAGACCCCCTGGATCTCCCCCAACCCTGCCCGGTCCCCACAGGGGTCCCTCCCCACGATCAACATCGAGTTGATCACGCCCACCTTGGCCACACCCAGCCAGCCTGCCATGACCACCACAGCCACGCCCATCCAGTGGGCCACGCCCACCTGGCACCCGGCAATAAATAAGTGGGTTTTGGGTTGCAGTTTGGGCACTCGGTCTCTAAAAGGTTCGCCATCACTGATCTTTATAATTACTAAACCTGCAGGGTCTTCCAGACAACAAAACCTGCAAAAAATCCTTAAATAATCCACCTTAAAGTAGTTCTGCGAAGTTTGGCTGGAAAGATGTTTTAAAAAAAACTAAAAAGATTTCAGAGTGATTATTTTAGCTCCAGCTCTCCAAATTACAGAGCTGTCCCCTGCACTGAACTCTGGAGCTCCTTTTTTAAGTGGAGCTAAGAAGCTATATATACTGAATTAAACTTGTAAGCCTTTCCAAGTATCAATAAAAGATCTCTCAGTTTGGATCTTTCTATTATTAAAGAGTATATGAAACATGTATTTCATCACAGAATTACTGTTTTCTTCGTCTAATTTAGTTTCTGTTTTGTGTCCCTTAAAAACTAACAGGATGATGCCACCAATAAACAGCAGCAAAATATCGAATAACAAATCATAGTGCTACATGCCTATCATTTTCATAAAACATTAAAATCTCCCTAAAACGCAAATCAGATTAAAATTTTGATTTCATGTATAAGTTATTACCCCAACCACTACAGCTTTTTACATTAAAAATAATTTTAAAGTGCTATCTCTAGAAACAAAATGGTTGCCCATCCTTGCTCTGATACACTTGCCTAAGGAAAATAAGGTCAGTGTTGATAAATTAAGCATTAGACATTTCTCTCCCTGTTTCTCATTTAAAGAATTAAATTGTAACATGTTTTAAAAAGACAGTGCTGCTCTAAAGTAGTCTTTATTCATTTTTAAAACTTCAATAAATCACCTATTTGTGATGGATAGATATTTTAGAAAGAAGATTAATTTATCCCAGTTTTGCTTTTTTCTTGTTTAAAACTTTATGTAATGAAATATGTGTAATTAATGAAAACTTATCAAAGGGCACTATTTGGGTATTGCTCCATTTTTCTACACTTTCCAAATAATGACAAATGTGCAGAAAAGAAAATAAGAGGTCTCTATAGATTGAAAAGCGTTTTGCTAACTTGCAAGTCCAGCAAATATCTAAATTATGACTTTGTAAAGCTGGATCTGATGGGCTGCTTTTGTAAGTTTGGAAAAATATATAGGCTTCTCCTAATGTGTCAGTTAATCATTTATTAGCTAGTTAGAAAAAGTGAAGCTCTGAAACGTCCTCTTCAATTTTTAATCAAATCTATCATTTCTTAGATGAGCACAATACTAATTTCCTATTTCATTTGTGGAGTAATTCCCACAATCTTTGCAGAAAATGAATTTGACTCTGAGATCTGAATATTGATACACAGAAGTTCTTGGCAGATGGTGTACTGCAGTTTACTGCTGCAGTTTTTTTTTTCACAGACGCAAATTATGGAACAGTTAACCCTGCAGATATAGGATGGTTTATAGAAAATTGCTTCAGTTACAATAGGGAACAACTCTACTAGGTTAAAAAAATTCTGAGATTATCATATCATGGCATAAATAAATCTCATGTGCACAGAACTGAATAAAATCTTGCCATATACAAGATGGGGATTTCACACTTTGCAATTTTGAAAATATGGATTATGGTCAAATATAATCAAATAATTAGGAATGATTAGAATTACTTACACTTAGAAATTGCAATTAATCTCCATAGATAGTATTGTTAGATATTCTCAATTCATTTTCTGAAATATTCCCCCAACTGCCCTGGAAGGGTTCTCCTGAATCCGCTGGGAAGGGCTGATACGATTAACAAATCCACCTGCCCTCACTATTGTTTTTGGCTTCCATGACTGATGTCCTACCACTCATGACTTGACTCTTAAGCTTTCTTTTCAGTGGCAATACTTCAAGTAGGCATATTAGGATGAGCAACTGCTCTCCAATAAAACTCTATACTTATCAAGATAAAATATATGGATTATGATATAAAGATGCTCAATGTTTCAGCCTTAGGCTGATCGCTGGTCCCATAGATCATTAAGGCGGTTTGGGTGAGCATAAAGATATGAGATAAAAGTTATGATTGACAACAGATGCACAAGATTTTAAATTCTTACTATAAAAACTTTACTTAAAATAAAGATTTCATATATACATATAGTGTTCAAATAAATATAAATTTCTATTAAGATCTTTTTTCTTTTGAAACCTTTAAAAAATAATTGAACTGATCTAAAAAGTTATTCTGGAAGCAAATCATCGCCTACGTCTTCATCAGCAAACTCATCTTCATCCATTTTTTTCCTTAGTGCTGTTTTTGGCCTCTCAGGTTGAGGTCCAAGTGGATCCAGGTATGAAGCATCTACATTTTGAAAAGAAAGGAAAAAAAATAGAGCTAAGAAATTTGTTCTTTTACTGAATTGCTAGAACTGGGTGGGATCAATATACTAGAACAGGGGTGTTAAACTGCTGACCCGCGGGCTGGTTGCATCATATAGAGGCCTTGCCCATCCTAGCAATGCAAAAAAAGTCACTATACATCGCAACATGTCACGTGACATGGGGAGTTTGACACCTGTATACTAGAAGGTAAAAATATAATCCAAAATTATCTTGTTAGATTAGAGAAATTAGATTACAGAATAGGAGGCTTAGAAGAATATTTGGGAGGGAAGGGAGGGAGTGGGGGAAGGAAGGAAGGAAGATGAGTCAGAAGTGTGATGTGACTTCAAAAAAGGCAAATGCAATTTTAGACTACATCAACACAAGCGTAGTTTTAAACTGTAAGAAACTATTCTACTTTGATCAAAGACCCAACTTTCAGGCACCTATTCTTTAAAAAGGTTTTACAGAAATGAATAAATTCATAAAGTGCAACAAGCATAATCCGGAACTAAAAACCATGTCATACAAAGAGACTAAACAATTAGGAAATTTTTAGCTTTGAAAAGTTGTGGGTGTGCGGGATAGAACAGCA